CCACAAATTTACACAATTATCTCCAAATAAAAGAAAAAGCAAGAGATAGGTGCATTGATACATAAAATAAGCAGTTCAGTTTACATTGCTACTTTATTAAGTCAACATCGAGAGCTAATATACAATCAAAATTACTTTAAGGAAAGTTTACGTTGACAAAAGTTGCAATGACAAAATATAGTATCTTTGCATCAGAGACTGAAGTACCATGCAATTTACACATATTTTGTTTGTGCATGCAACATGACAAAATACATGTCCTGCAAGGCTTGCTGTCGTTCCAACAGTTGTAAAAAATAATAAGACATCTTCTTATGGTATGTGAATTAGGTAACTTTAATAGTGGAATGCCCAAAAAGTATATATCTATAGTAGTGGAATGGCCAAAAAATATATATCTTTGATCCTTTGCAGCAATCCATGATGAAGTCTTTTATAGCTCATTTGCAAATGAACATCTCCAACACTAAGCAGCAAACCAGAACAAAAATTCAATAATTGTCCAAGTTGGTATATATTATTGTAAACAATATCTCATTATACATGTCCTTGATTTTCTTTGTCTATGATCTATTTCTTAATGCACTGATCGAAATTTTGTCTGCAGGTTCAACTTTTGGGACAACCAAGTTAGAGAATTCCGCAGAGATTTTGGCTGAATTAGCAGACGGTGGTTGTCTCCCCTCATCATGTTTGATGTGAAAACATGTCAAATTTAAAAAGGATGGAAATGAACATTATAAAGTGCATGCATGATGTTTTTGTTTAATGAAATACCAACATTATTTGAAGGAGAAAATTAACCTGTGAGCTTTTGAAGGTTCATTTTCAACAAATAGTGTCCTTTTTACACCCTTGTTTGTCACAGCTGATTGGATTTCTCAAGTTTGCGATTGCAGGGTCATAAAAGGGAGAAGGATTGCTGCATCAATGACTTGTTTCCCAGTGTTGCTAGTAGGTGTACACGGTATAATCGAACTAAGTTTTGGGTCAAATGATGCTTGTTCCTAACTAAGTTTTGGGTCAAATGATGCTTGTTCCTCAACTATTCCATGAACAACAAAGTCGGTGTTGCCAAACTCATTGTTTTGATTACCAAAACAGACCTAGAATTTTTTCATGTTGCCAACCAATTTTTGGAAGTGCGGTAGCAACACAGAAGAGTCGTCATGGCCTTCTTCTATGACCAAAGAGTGGCAAGAAATACCTAGAGGTTATTCAGTAGTCATTCCCATCACTAAGAATTTGAATTGATTTCATCCATAATAAAATTCATTTAAACCTAAATAAAAGACGAAGATATTATGACGTGAGTTTAGTAGTTTAAAAAGAATGCTTGCAATAAAAACCATATTTATTGCAAAGAGATATAAAGAATGTAGAAAAAATAAACTAGGAAATTACCATAGCTTAGGCATTTTTCCGAGTTGCCCATGTTCAAAGCACTAAAAGGTTCCATATGTATTTTTCACACTTTTGTGGCAATAGGAGCATGACTTGTACCACCATCCCTTGGTCAGATAGTAACCGACAATTGTTGCTTGGCATACGAAACTTGTATTATGATATCATATAAAATTTTCAAATACAAAAGACATTTAGGAATAAACTCCCAGACATGACACTTGCACCCTAGAAAATGTATTTCCACCCAAATTATAAAATAGAATACAAATTTTGGACATGAGATCACATTTTGGAAAATTTATATTGAGTCGTGAAAGATAAGTTGTTTAATTTTTTGTACTGAAGCTTATAAATGAACAAAGAAACAAACAACATGACACTTTATATGCATAACACAGTATAGACTAAGAAACAATATGTCATTTCCAAAATAGAACAAACAATTAATTGCGAAGCAGTTGCAAAATACAATTGATAAAACATGAGATAATTTAGTGATGGTGGATTGACCTTGTTTAATGCTGGATCAAGATGAAGCAATTGTTCAATTGTCTTCTGTTTAGAATTAGCCATAACAATAGCCTTTCCATACTTTGCAGCAGAAGTCTGTAGAATTTCAATGGGTGTTTTGAGGTATTCAATCCTGATTTTCACATTTTTAGGTCCAAGAATATAGACGGTAAAAATATAAACGAAAAAAAAAACATTAAATAAGGTTTGTTCACTTACTCTTGCTTATATTATGAAAGTTGTGGGATATCAGGATTGAAAATACAAATTGTTTAGTCTGTGCTCCCCAGAACAGGTTTTCCTATAAATATAAAGATAACAATTATAAACACAAAAGTAAAGCGATCAGATATAGACTTTATTAAGGTATAACCTTTGTATTGCTTCACTTTGAGTGAAGTCAAAACAACAAAGGCAGGCGGCGAAAGCGACTGCAATGCATCCTCTAGAAAGCTTGTTGTAGTTTCTGCCTATAGGGTCACTGTAACTTGTTCACCTCTACAATTATAAAATGGAGTCAGAACTTTCTATGTAATTTTCGTATGGCTATATATGTATAAATATGCAATCACAGTTTAAGAGAAGTATAGTTCACCTATTATTTTGAAGTTGGAGGTTTCGCTTTTTCTCAACTCTGATATTTTGCACAGTCATGTTCTCAATCGGTTGTAAAGTCATCAAACAACAAAAAAACATCTACATATGATATAGTTATAAGAACTAGTTTAAGCTAAATTCAATTAAAAACTAAGAATAATGATTTTAGAGTACTGGCAATAGTCAAAATTAGATGCTTTACCTGTGAGGTTTACATCTCTATCAACTTTCTTGTGAAGCTCATCAAATTCAATTAAATTAAACCAATGCATCGGGATCACTTGATTTGGTTTCTCAATAGGGACTATGGTAGTGTTTTTGTTCAACCATATAACAATCAAATCATATATAATTCTGGAAATTAAAGAACAGACAGGAAAGTGATAGAAAGCATCTTCCTGGAATGAGTACTACTCCATCATGAAAATCTTTGTGAAGGACATGATCCGGCTTAGTATAATCTTGAAACCAAGCAACTTAATGGAACTAGAATTCAGTTGGCACGAAATTCCCTTTCCCGTTACTATATGGACACTTATGTTGAAAGTTTAGTTTACTCAATAACTAGAAGAAACAAGTCAGATTATCACCTATTTTATTTTCTCTCTGTATGAATCAAATATTTACGTTTTTCATATTACACCTGTACCTTTGTCTTTGGGAAGTGCTAACAAGTTGTAGTTTTGAAAAATTTTAATGCATGTCCAAGTTCATTTTAGGAAAAATCTAGTAGTTTATATTTTTACATGTCCTTCCATTTTTTTTTTTTTTGACATGATAATTAACTAGAAATCAGCATTACTATATTCTCTGTGCTCTTGTACTCTGTATTTCACCACAATGTTCAAGTGTCATTGTTAAATATCGCCAATGTGGTCGAAATAGTCTTTAATTGATGTCAACTATGTATTGCCAGAATCGATCTTAAGATTAAAACCAAATATATTCTTTCGGAGGCTCTAAGACACCCTACGTAGGGTCTAAGACTTCTTAAAACCAAACCATGTGTTTAGACTTTAAACTTACGATTTGGGATTTGGCAGTACATTCTTATAGTGCACAATTTTATGACGTCGTTTATGAGAATGTTGAATAAAAACTGTCAAAGGAAATTAACAGCTAATTAAAAAACATAGAAAAGAAATCACTCCAAAGAAAATAGCATGGGATTTATCTAGTGAATTACCGAACTGTTATATTTTTTTCTTCTGAAAATATGAATGTAGTCCCTAAAACTTAATTTTCTCCACATAAAACCAGACATAAGTTTTTTTACTAGAATAAAACCCATTGACTAGATTCCACATCAACAAATTCCTTAATTATATTTGACTTCACACATTTAAAAAAAATTTGATGCCCAAAACACGCCTATTTGAATGTTTGATTTACACAATTAATTCCATACATATTGTAAGGGAGAATTAATGATTTACATGCCTAATAAATCTATTAATACATGCTTAGTTAAGTCAATAAAACTATATTTTAAGCATAAATGTAGGTAAATTATTTCACACACACACACACATATATATAACAACAAAAAAAGAATGCTTGACATACATAAAAAATTCATGCAAAATAATTTGCCTACATAATAAAGCAAACCCAAATATATGCAAAATCATATACCTACATAAAAATATGTTATTATTTTATTCAATACTAGTTTACCTATTATTTGTACATATAATAACAAAACGTGCCCAATATATATGATGATACATACAAAATAAAATACCTACATAATGAAGAAATGCTATTTGGTTCAAGATTAATTTACTTACAAAATAAAGAAATTGTTTTTTTTATTAAAGATTAATTTACCTATTATTTGTACATATATCTTATAGTAATAAAATGTGCCAAATATATGTGATAATACATGGAAAATAAATTACCTACGAAATAGAAGAATGTTATTTGATTCAATATTAATTTACCTACAAAGGATATGTTATTTGCTCATCATAAATTTAAATATAGGTAGATTGATATACATATATATATATATGTATATGTTTATATATATGTGTGTGTGTGTGTATATATATATATATTGAGGTTATGGTAGTAATATATACATTTGAACGTATATATGTGTGTGTTTGGGGTAATAATATGTGCAATAATTTTATTTTCATTGTAATTAAGGTGAGCAATAACATGTATTGATTTTTATTTTGAATATTGTGGTACAAATTGTAAATATTTTGTAATTATAGGTCAATTACTTCTATACTTGGCAGCCATTTGTAAATTTGGGTTTTATTTGGATATTTATAACTAGGTGGGTTTTTATCTAGAAAATAAGAATGGTAAGGGTCTATATCTAAAGATCCAAAAAAAAAAAAAAATTAGCACACTGAGAGACGGAAAAATATTTTTGTTGTCCGCCCTGCATCAAAGGTGAGAAAGGCCTTCTTTATCTCAGCCTCAATTATTAATTGAAAACTCATTCATATTTATTCATAGAAATAGACTGATATAAAAACATAAAACTGGACAAATTTTCATTCCCATATTTAGTCCTATTTTGATGAATGTGGCTGAAACCAGGGCTAAAAACCAAGCTCCAATCCATACAAAGAACTCAGTAGATGCTAATGAATGAGTTTCAAGTTTTTCATAGAGCCAAATTAAGCCAACATGCTTAAAAAAAAAAACTGATACTTGTAAGTCCGAAGACTGATTTCAAGGCCCTTTGCTTCTCTTTGTTGTGATGTAAATCCAATTTTTGCACCACCTTCAACAGAAAGAAAACAATTTCCAATTAACAAATTGTTTTGGGAGAGAAAATGGAAATTCATTAATACGAATGCCAATACCGATACACCAAACGAATCCATCGTGCTTCCAACGCAGAGGGCATTGTTCTTGAGAAAGTGCAAGTGAACTTTAGCTAAATGTCTTTTCCATTAAAAATCCTAACCCATCCATTTTAGTTAAAGGCTTTCAATTTTCATTATGTTTACATTAGTATGGTTCATTTACCTTAACAAAAAAACACTTTCCCACTCGGACAATAATATAGAAGTATGCATTAGGTATCTATAACATCCCACATCGACCAACGGAGATGGGGTGATGCGCCTTTTATGTACATGCTCACCTATTATAGCACGAGGCCTTTTGGGGACTCATTGGCTTCGAGTTCCATCGGAACTCCAAGGTTAAGTGAGTTCAGGCGAGAGCATTCCCAGGATGGATGACCCACTGCGAAGTTACTCGTGAGTTCCCAGAAACAAAACCGTTGTTCGCTTTGGGCTCCGACCACGCCCTCACAGTTTTGTTTCTGGGAACTTACAAGTAACTTCCTAATGGGTCACCCATCCTGGGAATGCTCTCGCCCAAACTTGCTTAACTTCGAAGTTCCGGTGAAACCTAAAGCCAGTGAGTCCCCAAAATGCCTCGTGCTATAGAAGGTGGGTATGTGCATATAAGGCACATCACCCCCTCTCTGTTGGTCGATGTGGGATGTTACAATAAAATAAGGAGAAATTAGGTTCTCATCCTTCATTTTGCTATTCCATTGATTAAAATCCTATTCTTTTTCAAATTTTTATCAAGGTCTTTGGATATTAATAATATTATTAATTATTTCAATAATAAAATATTAATTATTTCTAAATATATTCATTTAATGTTAAAAATGTTACAATTAGTATATTTATGTTAATGATTAAAATTTTTATCATATATTTTTAGTTTTAGTTTGTACCCATTTTTAATTTATACCAATTTTCTTTTCAGTTTTAATTTGTACCCATATATTAATTTCTTTTTGTGCCCATATTTTTTAAAGTTTTATTTGTATTTGTACCCAGATTTTATTTATTTATTTGTACCCTTTTTTTTTTGGCTAAATGTACCCATGCTAATTATATGTCCCATTCATGTAATTTTTAAAATTTTTAATCTTAAAATGTACTCATTCTTAAATATAGCAATTTGTTATATGTAAAATGTGCCATTTTTTTTATATAAAATCTATTCAATTTTTTTCTAATCCATTTTAAACTTATATGGGTACATTCTTTTTTCTTTGATTTTAAAATGTATATATGTCAAGTTTAATCGAAGAAATTTACTTATGTTATTAAGCCTAATATTTTTTTTTTTTGTGATTTTGAAGAACGTACCCATATTTTATACAATAATTTTTTGGTTAATTTTGATGAATGTACCCATGTTTATACACACACACACACAATGGTATATTTATATTGTAATATTTTTAATCCCACAAATTATGGTTTTTTATTTAAAATCTCATTTATACAAACAACTAAATTTTTTAATTTTTAATTTAAAAAATATAGTAACTTACATAGAAATAAATTATCACATTAATTTCAGGGACTTTGATCAAAATTTGAAAATCAACAAGGTTTCAATCAAAGAATATTCATAGTACTGTTAAGGACCGCATCCAAAGTCTCCCATAAAATAAACTGACATGCCCTAACCCCGATAACCCCAAATATCAGGGTAGGCACGTGTTGTCCGACACACGAGGGTGACGAAGCCATTTTAAACATGCATATAAGTAAAAGATATGCAATTAAAACGTAAAATACCATAGCAGGAACGTGTCAGAGCATACAACTACTAAGAATAATATGGAAGGATTACTAAGAAAAGATATGAACAAGGAAATGATACCTATGTTGAGAAGACTTGAGGATAACTAAGTTGTAAAGTCCTGATGTCGGGATCGTGTGCCTTGAATCTAAATCCTGAAGTGGGCGCAAAACAGAAAAGGTGAGTGGACCAAAGTTTATAATAATACTAATAATAAGAAAACCATTTTCTTTATGAACATAATAACCCTCTGCTTTGAAAACATATATATAATTACATATAGGTTTTATGAAAACCCTAGTATGCCATGTAAAACATTTGTAAAACCTCTATAAATCATATCCGTGAAGTACTCAACTAGGGGTATCATGGTCGCCCAAAGGCAGTACCTATCCATCACCTGAAGGTGAAGCGGAATAACTTGTTTATCACCCGAAGGTGAAGCTGAATAACTTGTTTATCACCCGAAGGTGAAGTTGAATAGCCTGTCCATCACCTGTAGGTGAAACTGTATAAAATAGCATAATATAATTATAGAAAATCCATAATTATTGGAAATTCGGAATTCTATATAATCCATAATTATAGAAAATCCGGAAAACATAATATAAAGCATATTCAATGCATGAAATATGAAATGCATGCTAGGTTAATAATTTATAAAAATATTTCGTAAAGCTATTTTAATTAGATCATGAATTCTATATAATCCATAATTATAGAAAATCCGGAAAACATAATATAAAGCATATTCAATGCATGAAATATGAAATGCATGCTAGTTAATAATTTATAAAAATATTTTGTAAAGCTATTTTAATTAGATCATGAATTCTATATAATCCATAATTATAGAAAATCCGGAAAACATAATATAAAGCATATTCAATGCATGAAATATGAAATGCATGCTAGTTAATAATTTATAAAAATATTTCATAAAGCTATTTTAATTAGATCATGAATTCTATATAATCCATAATTATAGAAAATCCAGAAAACATAATATAAAGCATATTCAATGCATGAAATATGAAATGCATGCTAGGTTAATAATTTATAAAAAAATATATTTAATAAGGGGTCCACTCACTAGTTTTCCATTGCCCGAAAGTTGATCGAACTATCAAGAATAGCGTTGCTTCCCGCCAACTCGCCTAAACACAATTAGGGACCTTTTAGCAAAACTCTACTAAAACGTTATAATTTTGGAAAACGGATGGCGGATTCGGCATGTCGAGGAACCTCATGTTTTTTCCTCCACATGCCACTACACGCGCCGCCGCACGTGACGGTCGGCCGTCCCGACTCGCCGGAAAATCCAACATCTCAAAAAATTCCAAAATTTGACAGGAATAAATATCTTGATGAGAGGAACAACTTTCATACATGCAACCAAAGCCAATTTGGTTGGGAAAAGCCCCAATTTCACGAAAACCCGTCGGACCCTAGATTTAGGTGTGCTTTGATTCAACCTCGATTCGAACTCTAACACCCCCAAACTTGTTTAGGCTTTGTTCCTGGGTTCAAGGTGAGTGGTTTGATGGTGGTAATGGTTGATGATGCTTTCACGATGGGTGGATCTCTACCATGACACCTTCGGAACCCACGAGTGGATCTCCGCCATGACACCTTCGGAACCTACGGGTTCCATTCTTGCTCAAAACGGGGTCAATCTAGGTGGATTTTGGGTGGAAATGAATGAGGGGAGGTCGGGTAGATGTTTGGTAGTGGTGGTAGGACGTGATTCACCAGAAAAATAGCCTGAATGGCATATGAAAACATGGATGCTGCCGGGTCAGGTACAAGTAAAGGGGAACTCGATGAGTTCCTCTCCTTCTCCCCTTCACTATCTTCTCTCCTCTCCCATTGGTCACTCTCTTCTCTCTTCTCTCTCCTCTTCTGAATGGGCGTCCCACCCCTCATTTCTCTCCTTTATCTCTTCTCTTAACCATCCATTTCTTTTTTTATTCAATTTGGGCCACACACGTGGCTTTCCAGATTTTGCTCCAAAAATCTGGAGCTTTCTAGAAATTAATCAATTTACTATTTTGTCCTCGACTTCATTTGTTAATAACTCTTTCGTTATAACTCCAAATTACGTTTAATTTGCGCTCACGCACTCGTAGCGACGAGTACTACGAGGATACATCAAGAAAACGAATCTTACGTGACACGACAAGACAGTCAACAAAAGTCAATGTATTTGTTTCGAAGGGCATTTTCATAAATTCACAAATTAAAATTATTAAAACCTTAAAATTTAGGGACAGGTCGTTATAGTATCTGTTGCAACATCAGTCAATTGGAACATAACCTATGAGGATTGTTTGAACCCATACAAAATCTTTATTTATATTCTTCTTGGATCGTTTCAAATTAAGCTATTTCTCTCAATGTCTCTGTTTTTGTACGCATGCACACACTGGCTGTGTGTCTTTCATTTCTAAGTTGCTTCATATGCATATATGATGCATATATGGATATATAGATATATAGAGGGTAATGTTCTCTTATAAACTCTTATAAACAACAGTTTTGCATACTGATATTTTCTTGAGAATTCATGATAAAGTAGGGGAATTTGATTTCATTAATTTACCTGATGCAGATGATGCACATAACTTATTTGGCTTCTCCTCTGAGTGCAATTTGATGTAAATCCAATTTCTACACCACCTTTAGCAGAAAGAAAACAATTTCCAATTAACAAATTATTTTGGGAGAGAAAATGGAAATTCATTAATACAAATGCCAATACCGATTTTTGGGATTTTAGGGTTCTCTGTTACCCTTACAACTGAAAGCCTAAAATCCCAGAAAAATGAGCAAGAAGCTTAAGCAAAAAAAATCATATTTTTAACAACCAAAACCCAATACTGATTTAATCATATAAGAACGAAAAATCTAAATATAGAGTCACAAATTAACGAACCGAAAACCCACAAAAAAAAAAGACCTTAAAACAAAGAACAAATACACAGAAAAGAGAGATGAATCCCCAAAATGAGAGAAAATGAAACAAATAAGGGAATAAATAGAGATATATCCATCCCCCAAAAGCTGACCTAACAGTACTAAAAAATTCGAAAATAATTCACAGTAAAAAGGCAGAAATGTTGACAATCTAAGCTAACAGTAAGGAATCGAATTAAAAAAATGAACTTACCTTTGGAAATCCCAGCATGCATCGCAAGATCAGGCACACATCACCCTCAGTTGTCTCTGTTCATGACCCCTACCCCTTTCCCTCAAATCCTAACGACCCCTATGGTTTTCTTAGACCATCCTCACTCTCCCACTTGTGAAATCCATCTACAGCAATGGCACTGAGACCCCTACCCCTCCCCCTCGCTCTCTTTCCATCGCGATCTGTCTCTGTCTCTATTTGTCTCCCTCCCCCTCTCCCTCTCTATCTATCTCAGAGCCTCCATCCTTGAAACCCTCATTGAATGATAACAAATGCAAACCTACCCGGCTAGCCCCTAATTTGCTCAAAACCGAGAGGACAAAATTGCCCTTCCTAATACACCATTCCCACCATTGGATTTTAATCTTTGATGGGCAGAACTGTAATGGGCTTGATTTGAGATAACAATTAAGTAGCATGAAAAATGTTCAATTAATGAACTATTGAAGGGGTTTTTAGCTAGGGTATTTGGAGAAAAGTTTTAGTGACTGAGACACTATATAATCATCATGTACTGAGATTTTCCAACTGCCCTAAACAGAGAAATTGTTTTTCTCTAGATTTCTTGTTCTCTCAGCCATCATACATGCCTACACCAAACTAAAAAGGGAAGAAATTGCTACCAAAATTTCTCGAGCCATTATAAACCTCGAGTGGAATCTATCTAAGACTTAAATTTTGAGGTTCGAGAAGAGATCCATGCCAAAAAGAACTTAAATTTGAAGGTCGATCGGAGTCTAGGCACAACCGTAAGGTAAGAATCTTCCAGATCTATGGTGTATGTGTGTGCGCGCGTGTGTCATATATGTTAGAGAATTTGATTCTTATTAAATGGTGCTTCTTTTGGTATGTGACTGTTCATAGAAATGTGTGTTCAATACTATTTGATTTGATGAAACCATTTTCGATTCAAATTGAAGAATTAGTTTGTCTCTTCAGGAACAGATGCACAGTTCTATTTATCTGTTCTTGTCTATATAAAAGCTCAATCTCAAATATAGATTTCTCTAGGGTATGTGAATTTTTTCAATCTATGTATGGAGCAAGGATTGTATCTACTAATTTGTAGCCCTTTGAATAATTTGTTGTAGTTCATTTCTAGCTAATATAAATCCCTTGTTATTTGCAAATCTTGAAGACATACTATTCTAATTCTTAGGGATGCTTGAGATTTTAGAATTTTAACATATAATCTAACATGCATATCTAGATCTAACAATGAAATCAAAATGCAAAGCTAGATAAGGCAAATAGAAGCAAGGGCTATGTTTAATAAAGTAAATCCCCTTCAAGATTTTGTTAGTGTATCCACATGATTTTTCAAAATCAAGGCAAAGAGATGAATATAAACACTAACCTTTGGATCTTGATTTCATGACCTATTTAGGTATTTCACCAATTCCTCTCCACATGGATCCACCTTGTCTAGATTCTCCTTTATGTTCTAAAGTAAAAACTCTAATGTCTCTACACCTTTTAGTGTTTGAGACGAATAATAGACGTAGAGAAAGAGTGGAAGCCAGTGCACCCAATTTTATGGTGAAGGAGTCAGATTTTCACGCTCAAGTTCAAGTTTGATGGAGGTTGAACTTTTCTCTAACAAACTCTAGTTGCTTCTTTTTTAAAGGCATGCATCACTTAATAAAAACTGAGCGGATGAGTGGGAATATAAGAATTTGTGAAAGTCTCTCCCTCTACAAATTTTGGCGAAAATGGGATAATGGGCTTTTTGGACCACATTTGCGCTTCAAGTCATCTTATAATAATTTAAGTAAACGCAATGGGTTCAAACACTATAGGTCCGACTAATCCCAAAGCTATTATAAGGCCCATTGAGATGTATAAACGTCAAATTAATTAATTGAAACTATTTCAATTTAATTTCGATCTCAATCAAATTAATCAAACTAACTGCTCCATTATTTTGTGTTCATATAATCCTTGGCTACGAGATCTATTAGCTTCTAATTGGCGAGACAATGAGTAATAAGATGTTCTTTTAATTGTTTACTTGAATTTAAAATATTTTGAACTCATCATCTTAGTGAAGACAATAATAATTATTGTCTGGGGCTCATAGAATATGGGGCGACGATTTTCCTTACCCATGACACATGGCACCTTGGGTGGCAAAAAGGACCGGAATGCTCATAGCATGTGACACTCAAGCAAACAAGCTAAGAGACCTGATGTGGATTGGAACAAGTTACTTTTATAGGCGTATTAGTTAGGTCTGACCAGGCAGCCTTCTTAGTCAGATAGTCATAGTCATATCAGACTAGTCAAACGAAATTAGAATACCAAGTGAAGTTAGACAGTAGTAGTTAGACAAACTAGGCTTAAGCACATTGCAGATATTACTTGTCTCCCAAGTAAGGAAACCTTAGTTTAAGTCAAAGGAAGATAGCTTGGAGGTTAGGCAAGTAGTCGTGATCCCACAAAGGTTGGATATCTTATCCTAGATTCCCTTCTAGATATTCTCCCAATTTAATTGGGACTACTCTCCCTACAAGGACTCTGAAGATTTTATAAATACTCTTGCTTGGGCATTTATCTCTAAAATAAATCAATCAATGACAACTACGGATACATCTCTCTCATATTTTCTCTAAGTTGAACAGAGGCTAGTGTTCCATACACTTCGCGGTCTACGCGTGGATACGTCCATGGAGTTCCATACACTTCACGGTCTACGCACAGATACGTCCATGGAGAACTCATCTCCTTAATGCCCCGTCATAAGCTATTCGTCAAGGATGGTTCTCAATGCATTAAACATCACACTATTCTTTCTCAGAACTACACCAGTGGTTTGATTCTCTTTTTTGGAGATATGTAGGCTGTCAACGTAGATTCAGCTACACCTCTAATCAAACCCTTTCTCCCTTTGCGAGAGATCATGGGCAATTCCGATGAATTTGGCCTCTATTAATATATGTGCACAATTTTAGTTCCATTATAGACCATGATTGACACCTAATTGCATATCATGGCCTCATGTCAATATAAAATATTCGGAGAACCTATACAGTATGATCACACTTTATCACAAAACTCATAATCACATTATTAGGGTATGAATAAATAATGTCAAACTCATAAAGTCAAACACGTGGACAACACAAATGGGGTGAGATGGTGCACATGTAGCTGTTGGACTTCACATGTGGGACAACCTGCTTTGATACCATAAAGGAAGTTGAAGTTTCACCATAAATCTAATTGGTAATATGTAAAGTAGTCCAACTTACGTATAAGGTCATGCAAGGTCCATTCTCTCATCAGTGTGATATTTATTCTTAACATGTCACCTCACATGTGGCGAATTTTCATGTCAAACATGTGAAGAACACAAATGATGTGACATGGTACACGTGTGGGACAACCTGCTTTGAAGGAAGTTGAAATTCCACCATAAATCTAATAGGTAATATGGAAAGTAGCCTAGCTTACTCACAAGACCATGCAAAGTTCATTCTCCCGTCAATGTAGAATTCATTTTCAACATAACTTGCTGATTTAAGACCTAAAAAAGATTAAAAAATCATTAGTGTTGTAGCCTATTTTATTTGATAGGGGGAAGGGGGTCGGCGGCAAAGAGAGAAAAAAGAGAGATGTGTTTGTAGAATTGTATGGAGGAATGTGTGTGTTATTCCCTCCTATGTAGTGCCTTTATTTGTAGTAATAAGAGGGAGAAGAAATACTTCATCCCCAAGGAATACAAGTCCATATAGGAAAGAATAACTAGAATCAAATCTAATCTAGGATTTACACAATTACACTTAAACGAGGAAAGTTTACAACACTCCCTCTTGAGTGCGTAAATACTCAAGGTAGATTCGGCATCATGTAGAAGTTGAGGAAGTCGACTCGTCAACACTGACTCTGGGAACAACGCTATTCTCAATAAGGTAGGAACTTGCATAAAGAAGTAAGTCTCACTAAAAAACCCTAAAGCTGTGGCAAAAACCCGAGTAGGGCTAAAATCCATAGTCTAAGGAAAAATGAGTGAGAAATGCAAAGTCTAATGAAACGTTTACGAGACGTTATCGAGGATATGATCAACCTAGGGTGGGTGCCTCGTTAAAACCTAGTTAGGTAGCAGAAATCCAGTGGGAAAAATGCTTCTAATAGTAGGGAAAAAAAGTACATTAAGATTAAGCAAGTATGCTGCAGAATACTCCCCTTGAGTTTGACACAATTCCAAAGAGAACTAGCAATGTTACAACTTAGAAAGTTACGCATACCAATTCCTTGAACAAGCTTCTGAAACATCATCTTCGGTAGTGATTTGGTGAAGAGATTGGCCAGATTGTCTTGTGAATGGATTTGCGTGACTTCAATATTCTGATGCTCTTATTGTTGATGTTAAAAGAAGAACTTCGACGTAATGTGCTTGGTGTTGTCTCCCTTGATGTAACCCTTCTCGAGTTGTTCGATGCATGCTACGTTATCTTCATAGGTCGTCATGACATCAACGACGGGGTAAAGATGGCAGGAGCTTCGAATATAGCCCACAACTGCTCTCAACCAAAAACATTCCCGATTTGCTTTATGTAAGGCGAGAATTTAGCATGGTTAGACCTAATGGCAACTAAGGTTTGTTTAGCTGACCTCCAAGAGTTGCGATGCCTCCAACGGTAAAGACATAACCCATTTGAGAATGCACTTTGTGCGGATCAGATAAGTATCATGCGTCGACATAACCAACAAGGTGAGAATCGACTCGAAAAGCGATGGGTGTAACATCACTCAAGTCTCTGTAGGGATATAACAAGCCCAAATTCGTATTACCCTTTAGATAACGGAAACTGTCTTTAGCACTAGTCCAATGTTTGTGTGTTGGAGCATTACTGTATATTGCCAAAAGATTAACAGCGAAAGACATGTTGGGTCTAGTGCATTAAGCTAAGTACAATAAAGTGCTTATCATACTCAGATAAAGAACTTCAGGCTCCAAAATCTCTTCATCATCTTCATTCGGACGGAAGGGATCTTGTTTTACATCTAGCAATCGAATGACCATACGAGTACTCGAAGGCTTCCATTTGCCCTCATTAAAGTGGCGCAACACCTTCTGGGTGTAGTTCATTTGTTGTACTAAGATTCCATCCAATAGGTCATCTATCTCGAGATCGAGGCAGTATCAAGTATTTCCTAGATCTTTCATCTTAAATTCTGACTTCAGGTGTATGACTGTTCTCGCGAGCTCTTCAGGAGTTCCAATAAAGTTCATGTCATCGACATATACTGCAACTGTCGCAAAACCAGAATGTGACTTCTTAATGAACACACAAGGGCATAATTCATTGATCACGTATCCCTAACTAGCAAAATACTCACTCAGACGATTATACAACATTCTTTCGGATTGCTTCAAATCGGTAGAGTGAACACCTTAGTTGAATTGAAAGCGTATTCCGGGGTTTGAAAATTTTGATCTAGTCAATGTAAGTTATTCAAGAACTTTCATATAAATTTGCATATCAAGATCCCCATAGAGATATGCAATTACTACGCCCTTCAGCTGCTTACTCAGTTTTTCCAAAACTACCAAACTGATAAGGTAGTGAAAACTAATTACATCCATAACGGGTGAATAAGTTTCGTCATAGTCAATCTCAGGGTGTTGTGAGAAGCCTTGCGCAACAAGACGAGCTTTATAACACACAATTTCACTCTTCTTATTTTGCTTCCGAACGAAAAACCCACTTGTAGCCAACGAGCTTCACATGTGAAGGAGTAGGAGCTACA